TTCCCTACCTTCAGGGATCTCTCTCCTTCCCTCCCGTCCTCTGCTGGGGTCCTTCCCTGCAAAGCCAGGCCCTGTGCTGTGGGGAAGCCCAGGCCACCCCTCCAGGACTTGCCTGTGCCCTGTCCCACCGATTTCCCTTGATAATTTTGAGGCAGTCTCCCTAAGTTGCCCATGCTGGCCTCTGTCTCCATCTCGTGATCCTGGCATTTGGCCCTTGAGTAACTGGGTTCCTTGTGTGGCCATACCCACTCCATCTGGGTCTGTCTCGGCTTCTGACCCTCAGAAACTAGAAAGGCTCTTTTTCAGTGATTAACACTGCATGAAGCCCTTACCCTGGGGGCGTCGTGTTGCCCAGCGAGTCACAGCTAGCAGAGTAAGAGTGTCCACCTGTACGAGAAGCCACTGTACATTTCCCAGGTGACTTCATTTTTCTTTTTTTTTTTAAGTTTTTTGTTTTGTTTTGTGACTTTATTTTTCTGTGCTTCTCCCTGGAGTTGTGGGGTCACAGATGTCCCCCTTGCTGACACTTTTAGGTTCTCACTGTGCATTTTCCTGATGACCCCACAGCTATTTTTTTTTGAGGGGGGTTTAAGACAGGGTCTCACTACGTAGTTGAGACTGACCTGGAACTCACTTTGTAGCCCAAGCTGGTCTCGAACTCACAGCGATCCTCCTGCCTCAGCCTCCCAAATGCTGGGATTACAAGTGTCCATCACCATGCCCGGCCCCACAGCTATTCTTGATCACAAGTAATACTTCCCCACTTAGAAACCAATCTTATTTACCATGACATTTCATGATTACATTCATAAGAACAGCTCCTCTGTACTCCTAATATCAGAGAATTTATGCTTACACTTCTGTTCATCGTAAAGCAGTTGCTACCACTGGAGATTTAGTGTAGTGGTTCCGCCACCTGCCTAGCAAGCAAAAGGTCCTGAGTTTGATCCCTGGTAACAAAAAAAAAGAAAAGAAAACAAATAGTTTTTTTTAAAAAAATAATTATACCAAAAATGAGTCTGTATGTATTACTATTATAATTATATACACTAGGATTTACCCTAAAAGTAAAAGAGGCAATGATCATATTGCGATTTAAAAAAATAAATACTAAGGATTCAACCCAGGGCCTTTGCATTTACCTACATCCCTCACTAAGTGGCTAAGTTGCTCAAGTGGGGCTGGAACTTGAGACCCTCCTGCGTCAGCCTCCCGGAGGGCTAGGATCACAGGACTGGGCTACCTGGTGAGTTGAATGTGTGAATTTTAATCATAACCGTGCTATCCTACTGTTAGTTATTACCATTTAGTAAGGAATACCACAGCTTACCACAAGAACCCTATGAAGCACATGGTGTTGTCTGTCCTTGCCCTATTTCCAAGGAAGAGGAAGTTTCAAGATGTCAGGAAATGGCCACAGAATTGAATTTGAACTGAGTATCATTTTATTTGCCCTAAAGAAGGTTTTTCTTCATTTCTTTCTAATTTTATATCACAATGGAAGAAAACACTTTTGCCCAAAGTAAACAGAAAATATTTTAGACTGGGAGTTGGGAGACCATCAAGTTTTACTCTTGGCTCTGTCACTGGCCAATGTCCCTTTGTAGGCAAGCTGCTCTCCGACATTCCCTGTGACAAATAAGAAGTCAGGTTGAACGTGGTGGTGCATGTCTATAATACCAGCTACTTGGGAGAATGAGGCAGGAGAACCAGAACTTGGAGGTCAGTGTAGGCAACTTCACAAGAACTTGTCTCAAAATGGAATAAAAGCAGGGGCAGGATGTGACTCAGTGTTAAGAGTGTTTGCCTGGGTTCAATCCCCAGTCCTGCAAAAATAAATATATGGAAGACTGCAGGGTGGACATGGTAGCACACGCCTATAATCCCAGCACTCAAGAGGCAGAGGCAGGAAGATCCCTGAGAGTTCAAAGCCAGCCTGAACTATATAGCAAGACCCTGTCTGAAAAAGAAAAAAGAAGAAGAAGAAGAAGAAAAAAAAAAAGATTGGAGCCGGGGATTTAGCTCAGTGGTTTGGTGGCCAAGGACCCGAGTTCAATCCCCGGTAACAAAAAGAAAAAGAAAAAAAAAAGATTGGGGGGACAGGACTGTAGCTCAGTGCTAGAGTACATATTTACCATCGTATGTACAAGGTTTTGAACTTGACCCCCAGCAATGCAAAAATAAGTAAAATGTTGGATCACAGCCTTATCCAGCTGAGGAGTTGCTATGGGCCCAGCACCAGTTTAAGCATTTATTTACCTGTGTTAACTTGTTCATGTTGCCTAAAAGCCCTATGATACAGGTACTATTACTAGGCCCCTCTTACAGACAAATAAACTGACACACAGACACTACTCATCCTGCCTCAGGAGGGTCACTACTCATTCAAGGCCAGCCTGTGCCATTTAGTGAGTTCAAAACCAGCCTGAACTACATAGCAAGGCCCTGTCTCAAAAAACCAAAACAAGGACCAGGAATTTAGCTCAGTGGTTCCGCCGCCTGCCTCACAAGCACAAGTTCCTAAGAGTTTGATCCCCTGTACCAAAAAACAAAACAAAACAAAAACACCCTCAAACCTTGCCCCAGTTTACTCATCCAACCAGCGTTGGGGCCAGGATGGGAGCCCAGCTATTTTGTGATGAAGTCGGGGATCCAGTGTCCCAAGCCCAGCTGGCCTGTGTCCTCTTTCCTCCTTCCTCCCTGCCTCACCAGTTGGCTGAGGTGCCCAGGCTGTGCCTGCCAGGTGGGCCTGGTGGTGGTGACAGTGGGTAGGGAAGGGCTGGGTGTTCCCAGAACAGATGCTGCGGCTGCTGCCTACTGGCTGGACAGGATCTGGCTCCTGGAACACGGAACATGCTGTTCCCCACTGCCGGGCCCTGTGTGGAAAAAAGGACAAGGAGGTAAGGTGACTCAGAAAAGGGTGCTCGGTGGCCTGCGGCTGGATGCTACTACCTTGACAGAACCTTCGTTTGTTTTAAGTAAGTTATTTTTTAAAAATAGAAAAAACTCAAATGGTAAAAAGTTAAAAACACAAACAATGCATGCCCAGCCACCAGAATTTCTTGTGTTTCCAGGAGATGTTCTTGCATATGTAATCATACAAACGGACACATACCATGTAGGTGATTTGATTTTCCTTTTATTTGCTTTCTTTTGGTTTGCTTGATTTGTTTTTGTTTTTTCATTTTTAGTGTTTGAGACAGGGTCTCACTATGTAGCCCAGGATGGCCTTGAGCTCTCGGCGATCCTCCTGCCTCTGCCTCCCAAGTACTGGTATTACAGGCGCGAGCCACCACACTTGACTTCCTTTTTATTTCTAGCTAACACTATAGTTTGGAGACTGTGCCTTCTCAACACTTAAAGCACTTTCTAGTTTCTTTTTCTCTTCTAAGGGTTGCACAGCTTTCTGTGGGATGCATGTGCCTAACAAATCCCCTTAAGGGCCCTTGAGATTGTCTCGAAGGTGGAGCCCCGGGAGCCTGGAAGTCTTCCTGGTGCAACTCCGCCCCACTGGGGCTTCCTGTCCAGCCTGCAGTCACCGGAGAACCAGGAGCAAGCAGGACCGGGATGGTGCTACTGAGGGTCCCAGTGGCTGTGACAACCCCGCGAGCTTTTTCAGTATCCTGGCCAAAGAGCCCTAGTCACGTCCTCCAGGGAGCCCTTGTGCCCCACGGGCTCGGCAGATCAAGGAGAGGCCCCGCTTAGGCCCCTGGGCAGGAGAGTTCTGGGTCACCACCTGCAACACTGGACGACCTGGGCGACTGAACTCTGCTCAGCTCCCACTGTCTCTCAGTCTACAGTGAAAACCTTCCTTCACGGCCTCCCTCCACCTATCAGAGCCGCTGGCTTGGGGGGCTCTGTGAAAGCCGGGTGTGGATATGCAGCCGAGAGCAGAGGAACTGGGCTGGGCGGAAATGCAGAGGGAGCTGGGCTGCCGCAGTAGCAGTGGCAGAGCGAGCGGGAGGGGCCCGGAGCAGGGAAGAGCGCGGCCAGGAGGGGTGGGCGGCCAAGCCGGAACAGCGGGGCAGGGAGCTGGTGCGGTGGGCGTCGCGGGGTTTTTGCAGGCCAGCAGCAGCTAAGGTCAAGGCCCTGGGCTGCAGTCAGCAGAGCCACCACCTCCACCCCGAGATTAGCTGCTCCAGCTCCGCAGGCGACGGCGGAACAGCACTTCTGTGGGCCGACTTCTCTGGGCGCTCTGTATTCTGCTTCATAAAATGGGCCTATTAATAATGTTCCCAAGGGCGGGGATTTAGCTCAGTGGTTCCCTCGCCTGCTTCACAAGGGCAAGGAGGCTGAGGCAGGAGGATAAGGGGTTCAAACCAAATCAGGGTAAGGGCCGGGGATGTAATTCAGTGGCACTGTGCCCACTTGACAAGCACAAGATCCTGAGTTCGATCCCTCATACTGAGAACAAAACAAAACAAACCTGGATGACTAAGCCATTTAGCAAGACTCTGTCTCAAAATAAAAAAATATAAAAAAGGCTGGGGCATAGCTCAGAGCGAAAGCCCCACGTAATCCCCAGTACCTCTGCCCCTAGAAAAGGGAGAGAACACGAACGTGTGCCGCGTGGGGGTGCAGGCTGAGATGTGACCAGTGACAGGCAGCAAATGCCAGCTGACGCTAGCACTGGGCTGACTGCAGGCCTCGTTTATCTCATCCACCCTCACAGAAGCCCAGGAAGTAGACGCAGTGTTGGCCTCCTTTTAGAAATTCGGAAAGTGAAATTCAGGGTGGAGGAGGGAAGTCCCTTCTGCAGGTGGCCCAGCTGGTGCCAGCGAATCCAGCCCGCATCTCCTGGCTGGCGAAGAGCAGGCGGCTGGGCAGGCCTAGCACCAGGCGGGCTCCAGCTCCAGCCCTGGTCGGATTGGCCTCAGAGGTTCTGGCAAGAACAGGGGGAGGTGGTCACGTGAAAGCCCTGCTGCCTGCCAGGCCCTTGAAAATGTTTGTTGATGAATAAACAAAGGTGGATGAGCTCATGAAATACTTTTATCTTTCAGCTGCTTTTCTCTAACCACACATGCTATAGAGTTCCCTTCCCAGGGGAGAACCATGGTAAACAAAAGCAAAAACCTGGACTACACAAAGGTCAGTGTAACAGAGGGCAAGCAAGTCAGTCTTTGACTCTCTTTAGAGTACAGCCTTACTGAACCTATTTTCTGGGCCTGTGTTCAGGCAGCACGGCTGCAGGTCACAAAGGCTGAAGCAGAGTGGGTGGCAAGCCCTGGCTTCTCCTGCCCACTCCCGCTGGCCTTGAGAGAGAGCTGTGGGGAAGCCAGAGCTGAAGGCCTTCTGCCCCTCTGCCCAGCCCTGGGCTCACTCTGAGCAGTTGTTTCCCAGAGGGTGAGGGCACTCACTTTCCAGACTTGGACACAGCAGCCCTCTGAATGGAGCCCTCCCTGTGGTGGTGAGTTCAGGAGGGGCTGCAGACACTGGTTGTACACAACATTGGTGTACGTGATGCCACTGGATTTATACTTCCAGTGGTAAATTTTGTGCTACCTGTATTTTATTTTATTATTATTATTATTACCATTATTATTATTACTTGTTACCGGGGATCCAACTTGCGTCCTTGCACTTGCGAGGCAGGTGCTGGAACCACTGAGCTAAATCCCCGGCCAGTTTTCTGTATTTTATCACAATTAAAATTAATAGCTGGGCCAGGTGCAAAGCACCAGGTTACAATAGAGAGGCAAAGTATACTAACTCAGATTGCCCAAGCTCTGAATAAAGGATGACTCTGATGAAAAAAATTAAATATATAAATAAATAGCTGGACCTGGTGGCACATGCCCATAATCCAGCCTTTTAGGTGGCTGAGGCAGGAAGATCACAAATTCCAGTCCTGCCTGGGCAACTTAATGAAACCCTGTCTCAAAATCAAAAGTATAAAAAGGGCTGGTGTGTAGCTCAGTGTAAAAGCCCTAGGTTAAATCCCCAGTGCCACAAAATAAGTAAATAAATACATACACACATATATACGTACATATATAAATTTAAAAATAAATTTAAAAATCAGTTGACTTGCACTATAATGGCAGTTTTGTCCCATTTGATCTTAGCCAATGGAGAGTGCACCATGTTCTCTCCTTGTAGTAAAACCCGGGGCTGGAGCCAGGAAGAGGTGCTGAAATCCTGGGCTGGAAGCCAGAAGTTAAGGGTCTCGAGCTGTCAGGGTGGTAGTGATACAAGGGGAACAGATGTAACTCCCAAACCTGCTAGGTATCTGAAACTCAAGTTTGTGTTCTCTAAAACTGAAGAATGAATTCTAGGAACAACAGAGGCTACGAGTAGGAGACATTTATTGGAAAAAAGAAAGCTTCTGTTTAAGAGAGACAGAAAGGGGACTGGAAAGTGGGATGCCCCCCACCCTGCTCTTCGAAGGTGTTTTATATGGCAAAGCCCAGAGGTGAGATGGGTACAAAGTGGGACAGAACTGTAAAACCGAATGGAAAATTACAAGGTGCGCATGAGGTGGGGCAAAACCCTGACCGACCAATAAGGTGATGCTCAGTCAAGGGGTCTTAGCACTGAAGAGAGTGGCGTGGGGAGTGGGAGGGAATGGTCTGTCTACACTGGGAGGCTCTGGGCCCCTCCAACTGTCCCAGTGAAATGGCAGCTTGGTCCTGAGTTGGGGCCCAGGTCTTGGCTTCCATCTGCAATGTACTACCACAGCCCAACGACACCAAATCTAACTTTCAACCGTAAACCTCTGCTTTCAACAGGACCAAATCAAGCCAAGCCATCAATTCCTAGAGATATGTGCTGTTTTGGAAGAAACACTCAGCAGAAAAATCTTTTGTCTTTTTCATTTTGAGATGGTTATTTTCTAGTCACCGGGACACAGTACCTGACATCCAGAAGTAAAGGAGGAGAGTTTATTTGTAGACAGTCTGTAGACATTTCAGTCCTTAGTTGGCTGGCTCCAAAGCGAAGTGGCACGGCAGAGAAGAAACAGCCCATAGCGGGGCAGGCAGGAAGCAGAAAGCAATCAAGGGAGGAGGAGGGAGATGGATGCTTTCAGGCCACGCCCCCAGTGGCCCACCTACTTCTACCAGGCTCCAACTTTCAACCTGACGTTTAGCTGTAAGCTCATCCGTGGACTAACCCGTAAGTATCGCACACCCACGATCCAGTCACCTCCCCAACCCAGACCTGTGAGGACGTGAGGCTTTGGGGTACATCTAGATAAAACTACAACAGGCAAGGTTCCTCGGACTTGTGATTCTCCAGCTTCAGCCTCCCAGAATACTAAGATTGCCGGCATCGCCGCCATGCTTGGCTTCAGAGCAGAAAATTCTGTTTTTTTTTGTTTGTTTGTTTTTGGTTATTTGAGACAGGGTCTCACTATGTAGTTGAGACTGACCTGGAACTCACTATGTAGCCCAGGCTGGTCTAGAACTCACAGCGATCCTCCTGCCTCAGCCTCCCGAGTGCTGGGATCACAGGCGTGCGCCACCATGCCCAGCTAGAAAAATTCTGATTTAAATGTTTATAATTCATCTCTGATGACAAACACTCTTACTCCACTACAAATATTAGCACCCCTCCTCTTTCCTTCCTTTCTTTTGTGACATTTTAAAATACCATCAAGTCCTGTGTCACAGGACAGTACACGTGAGCTTTCCCTTTCCATAATAAACAACACTTTTCCTCCCCAAGCCAAGTGTTTCAGTGTGTCCTTGTGATCTGCGTGATTTCCAGTCCGAAGTGTCTAGGAGTTAAATACTTTTCACACGCTTGCCCTCTCTTTCCCAAAGGTGAAATTCAACTTCATGTTACAGCAGTGATTCTGCAAGTGATGTCCCACATGGGTTGTACTGTGGCCCCAGTGTGGCCAACAGGTGTCCTCTTAGTGGACTGGGGATGCACGCACTGGCAGCGGGAAAAGGAGGGGATCCCTCCATTCTCAGGTCAGGAATTAGGATCCGGCTCTGTCCTCATCGCTGTGTGGCCTGTGCCAGCTTCACCTGTAATGTGGGGTAAAAACCATTTTGGGCTGCGCAGAGGAGGAAATCAAGTGGCATCTGTGACTTGGTTCCTGCTGTCCCTCTCCTCTGTCTCTCTGTCTGCCTCTCTCTCCCTCCCTCCCTTGTGCGTGTGCGTGTGTGTGTGTGTGTGTGTGTGTGTGTGTGTGTGTGTGTACCAGGGATTGAACCCAGGGCCTCTGCACTGAGCTACATCCCCCGTCCTACTTATTTTTTTTGAGACAGAAACTTGCTTAATTGCTGTGCTGCCCAGGCTGGGCTGGAAACTCTGATTGCCCAAGCTCAGCCCCCTAGAGTGCTGGAATTACAGGTATGTACCACAGTGCCTAGCTCCTCATTCATTTGTGTTTTCCATGAAAGTAGAATTTCTTCTTTGTTTGTTTTGTTTTGCGGTACCAGGGATGGAACTTGGGCCCCTGTGCTTGAAAGGCAGACAGGGGAACTACTAAGCCAAATCCCTGGCCCTGTTTTATTGTTTTTTTGAGACAGTCTCCTGGCCTTGAACTCACTGTGCAGCCCAGGTTGGCCTGAAATTCAGTGATCCTCCTGCCTCAGCCTCAGGAGAGCTGGGATTACAGGCATGCACCACTGCTCCTGGCCTTTTGTTCTCTTTCTTTTCCTTTCTTTTTTCTTCTGCGTCATCTTTCTTAGAAGGGAAGACGCTACCAGGCTGCACTCTGCACCCTTTCCCTCAACAAGATGTTCCCAGCTTTTCTCTCCTTCGTTCAGAGACAGCCCCAGATCCTCCCCATAACAAAGGTTTGTCACGGTCCTGGTTTTCTGCTCTCTTTACCTAACATATCTGGTGCCAAGATCCAGGAGGAAGGAGGTCCACTCTCGCCTGTGGCTGGGGGTCTATTGGCCTTTCGGGCCACCTCCTCCGGACCACATCTGCTGAGCCAGGACCTCCTCCGGGCCTTGTACCCTTGCCATTTCTGACGATTCACATCCACACCTGTCCCTGACTACAGGGTGAGTAGGTAGTCAGCCTCCCTCTACTCGGGTCCTCTGTCTCCCGCTCTCCCTCCGGGGATTTGTTGGCAATCCAAGCTCTTGGTCAGAGAGACCCTCTCAGACCACTGGGCCCAGGACCGTGGGGGACGTGGCATTGGACGACTCCTCTCTTTCTCCCCTTCCCGGGGGGACTGGCTCCGGGAATATGGAGAGACAAAGACATTCCTCTCTTTGCCTCCTCCTAGGGATATAAGTCCTCCTCACGCACCCTAACACGGGTGCCCAACAATCCAAACCCCCTCCCTGAACGCCTCTTGGCAGCCTCCTGGCACGATGTCGTCCCCTTGAATCGTTGGGACCCAACTTTGAGCCCAAACAACTCATTTTTCACTGTAACCAAGTTTGACCTCAGTAACAAATTAGGTAATAAATCTCAATGGCCCCAAAATGGCACTTTCGATTTTAACATACTGAGCAATTTACACAATTTTTGTCAATGCAATGGCAAATGGTCGGAAGTCCCCTCCCAACAAGCCTGCTTTCTCACCCCTTCAAACCTGTTGGCCCTCTCAGGTGCATCTAGCCCTAACTGTGTCATCCGCGGCTCCTATTCCACACCCCCAGTCTCCTTGCCTGAGCGACCCCCCCACCTCAGCCCAGACTCAGAAGCGACTACTTTTGGCCGCATTATAAAAGGTCCTTCTGCCTGTGAGTCCTCTCATGGTAAAATGCTGTTTTATTCTTGTCTTGTGTATGTTACTGTTTGGACTTAATTGCTTAAAATTATTGTAAAATGAGTGTGGGAGTTTCCGCTAGCTCTGGTATTCATTTTTGCTTATTTGTACAAAAAATTAATTTACCTTTCGAAGGGTTGTTGTCTTCCTTCTGTATCTGCAAGCCAGCTGGGAGTTTGTGTCTAAAACAGTACAAGGTTTTTTTTGTTTGTTTCACTCACAAAGTAAATGGGTCTTTGTATCTCAAGGTTACACATTTTCTACATTTCACTGAATGCAGAGATAAAACTCCAGGGCTACCGGACATAATAGGCTGTTCTTGTATCTCAGATGTCACTGGACACCATAAATAATCTCTGTTCCTGACCCTACACCCACCTGGAGGCAGGAACTGTGTTATCATTCCCTCCTCTGACTAATTGGCAAATGTACTTAAGGAATGTTTAATTAGTATGCTTAAAAGATTTCTTGGGGGCCAGGGCTTTAGCTCAGTGGTTCCAGCGCCTGCTTTACAAATGCAGGGACCCGAGTTCGATCCCTAGTACCAAAAAACAAACAAACAAAAAGATTTCTTGTACATTACAGATTCTTACATTGTAATTATAGGGTTAACTTGCTTTCTGTACTTTCTGAAACACTGAGGAAATAAAAAAGGAACACTTTAAAATTTTAACAGCTGAAGCCAAGTTTGTTATGAAAGGCTTATAGTAAATGAGATGGAAAATGTATATATTTAAAAAGGCTACAAATAAAGGAAATATACTTTTGATATAAAAAGATTTGGGGACTGGGGATTTAGCTCTGTGGTTCCACCTCCTGCCTTGCAAGCACAAGGATCTGTGTTTGATCCCCGCTACCAAAAAGAAAAAGAAAAAGAAAAAAAAAAAAGACTAAAGAGAGATGCACAAAACCAGAAGGCCTAGGTGTCGAGAAGATATATATATGTTTGCTAGTTGGTTTTAAGTTTGTTATAAAAGGTTTACATTTACTGTCCTTCTGATTCTAATTCTCTAAGAGATCTCTGTGAATCGACCTGCAAAAGTTTTGACTAGTCTTAACTAAAAGAGATGTTATAATTCAGTTGGCCAAATATAGGTGTACTCTATATTTTGAGTGTACTCTAGACTCATAAATTGTCTTATATATATGTTTGTCTGTGTCTGTCCAGTTGTTTGAAAATGTTTGTCCAATTATTTTTTTAATCAAAATGACATCAAAGATACAAATAAATTGTTAATTTATACAACCTGGTTTTACAGGTTAAATAAAAAATTGTCAAGATAATTAAATATAAACTTTTAGGTTTGGATAGACTCCTGTTTGGTTCATAAAGAAGCAGCTGCTCAGAAAAATTTATTCTTGGGCTGGGGATTTAGCTCAGTGGTTCCAATGACTGCCTCGCAAGCACAACCTGAGTTCGATCCCGGTACGAAAAAGAAAAAGAAAAATTTATTCTGGTCTTTGTTCACTAATGGGAGCCCCAATAATTTTCATAGCCTTGTGGGAAGAGATACTTTCAATAAACATCGCTAAATATGTTGTTATAAAATGTTTACGTTGGTTATCATCAAAGGGTTGCATTCTAAATGTTATTGTGATATGTTCACAATGGTCATCTTCAAAATATAGTATTTTCTGTGGAAAAACAAGGTGTTATTAAAAAAGATCCCTTTGGTACCAGGCTACACTATAGGACATAAGGTTTCATATAATTATAATTGTTATTATTACTACTTTTCTGGTGTACAAAATGTATTCATGTTTCCTGACTGTACAGGTCTTCCAGTATATTGCTTATGGCGATGACCTTTTGATCCAGTATTCGCCCTTCTCTTCTGCTGCACCTGCTCATGATTACAGGTACCTTTGGAGGCCCATACACTTTCCCTAGATGGCATCTAATCAAAAGATAATGACTTGAATAAGAGTTTCCTGGGGTTTTTTTTAATGTGTTTTTATAAGGGAATAAATACATTTAACAATGGCTATTTTTTACTGAGATACATATCTAAGTTTGTTGCAAAGAAAATGTCACCATGATTGCCATGCTAAAATATTATTATTATGTGTGGCTCTTGATTCAAAGATTTTTCTGTTAATAGTCTATAGGAACTCAACTACTAGAATAACCACGAATGATAAAATAACAGCCCTCTAACTGTATTTTAGATTCCAGGGTGCTTGCTATCCAGATAAAGCTATGATAATTAAGCTCCTACTGTACTACTGATATCACTGATTGTCTCTTCTGGGTGTTCAACCACCAAAGCGCAGAGACCAACACTAAAAGGCAACTGGGTTAAGAAGACCGCCAATATTTTGGCCCTGGCCCTCCAAGGTCATCAGAGATTCAAGGTATGAAGGAACCTTTTCTACAGTGCCTTACATGTTTGGTCAGTCACCCAACCTCCTGAGCAGGGAGGTTGCTGGACACCAGAGGACACATGTAACGTGTGCCAAAGGAGGATCAACAGCAACAAAAATCTCCCAAGTTTTCACTAAAAGTAACTTGGTCAGGCAAGGTCCGTGTGACCCATCCTAACGGCTGACACTGACAGGAGCTGAGAGGCTCTGTGTATGGTTCCAAAATAATGCCTAGGGCCGGGGATTTAGCTCAGCTGTTCGGTGGCCTGCCTCGCAAGCGCAAGGACCCGAGTTCGATTCCTCCGTACCACAAAAAACAACAACAACAAAAAAATCATGCCTAAAGAGACTTAACTGACCTTGACAGATAGCAAGATGTTCATATTGATTAACACAGGTCTCACTTTAACTTGGTGTTAAACACCCAGCAGAAAAGAATAACCAAATGAGGCAGTCAATGCACAGCCCCTAGCGATAGACTTTTGAGATCCACAACTGCACCTCCCTGTAAAGGGATAGATCTCCAAGTGGTAAACCAGATAACCCAGTCTCAAAAGCAATGCCTATTTACTACCGCCCTCCACTATCTCAGACTGTGGGATGTCTATGTCCATCTACCCCTGCTCATTCACTCCAATTCCCAGCCCCCTAGATTTTAACCTGTCTCAAATACTGACAATCTATCCACAGTTCTGGGACCCTTTGTTCGCTATGGGTCTCCCATTCCCTACACAAACCACTCACCTGACATGCACGGAGCAAAATGACAACATCAGTTGCCCTACTTGCTCCCTCTTTGTCTCAGAAGAGCGTCCGATCTGCCTGTCCAACAGCCTGTTTCATATGTCATCAAGAGGCGTTCCGATGCCTCCGTTGGTCTGGCCTTGCTGTTACATACCCTTCCTTAGCCCTCCCATGACCATTTATCCAGAAGCCCAGATGTCTAAACAAGTTCTCCCACAGAACAGTCAGAAAAGGGCTGCTCCCCTTCTGGTCCCCTCTGAATGGGAGCGGGGGTCCTCACTGGGATGGCTACGGGTATAGCGGGCATTTCTATATCAACACGTTTCCATCAGGCCCTGTCCGTAGAGATTTCGGAAGACATGGATAAAATAAGCCAGTCCTTAAATACAGTACAAGATATAATTCTCTAGCAGCAGTCGTGTTACAAAATAGAAGGGCCCTTGACATGCTGACAGTGGCCCAAGGGGAAACGTGCCAGGTGCCAGGTGAAGAACGCTGTCATTTTGTTAACCAGTCAGGGACTGTTAAAGCAAAGGTTAAATAATTACAGCAGCTCATGGAAGAGCGAAAAAGATGATGGAATTCTTGGGGAACAGAGCAGCCCTCTCCCTGGCTTCCCCGAATTATGCCTTGGCTACTTCCCTTTTGGACCCACTGGCTTGTAGTGTCTTTTAGTCATGATAGGGCCCTGTCTGCTTCACTGTTTTCAAAATCTCTTGCAGAAATGCAGGAGGGCATTTACAGGCCAGACAGTCACAGAACTCATCACGGCACAGTATCAGACACTGCCGCAAAGGGAAGAAGCCCCCACCTACCACTGCCCACAGCAGATCCAGATTTAGCCCCCACCTTCACCCCTTTGTCAGCTTGAAGCAGCTCCAGAATTAGAGACCTTCACCCAATAACCATAAAACAGAAGCCTGGAATGTTAGATTTCCCTTGCCTTAAGATGGCTGCCACATGGAATAGCAGCCTCCACGTTAAAATACGGCTTCTCCCAGCAAAGGACGGGCTGCTTCCCAGCATGCCTCTTCTCCCACCCAAAGGGTAACCTGATACTTGCTACCTCCCAACAGCTACTGATGTCACAGGCTCCTCCAATCTCTTAATACTTACTCACTTCACTCCACACCTGCTCAGGCTAACCCCACCCCGTTCCTATAAAAGAAGCTCCCTGTGCTGTTCTCTCTCCTTTGTTTGGAGGCATCCAGGTAGATTCTCTCCATAATAAAGGCTTGGTATGGTCCTGGAAAAAAAAAAAAAAAAAAAGATGTTCCCCCTGGATTACTACCTGACTCCTGCAAATCCCTAAATTGCCCAGGCTGGACAAACTTGCAATCCTCCTGCCTCAGCCTCCCAGAGTGCTGAGGTTACAGGCAGGGCCACCATACCCAGATGGACTAACTTCTTTTTTGTTTTGTTTTGTTTTTTTGAGACAGAGTCCCACTATGTAGTTGATACTGACCTGGAACTCACTATGCAGCCCAGGCTGGTCTCGAACTCACAGTGATCCTCCTGCCTCAGCCTCCTGAGTGCTGGTGGACTAACTTCTTTCCATTGAGTTTGAGGGCTTCCTCCCATTAAGGAGCTGAGACTTTGTTAGCTGGGCTTTCATCCAACCACTAACAAACCTTACGCGCTGACTACGGTTCTGTGCTTTTCATCTGTTGGTGCCTGTGATTTCACTCAACATCAAACTAATTTGTTCTGTGAATTTTAGAAATGAAAACATCCATAATTTACCCAAATTAAATTTATTCTCTTTTTCAAGCTCCCCAAAATTGTACTTGGAATCCTACAGTAGATACTGTACCTTCCCAGAAGTCCAGAACTATTTTGTTTGTTTTTTTGCAGTACTGGGGATTGAACTCAGGGCCTCACACTAAGTTACATTTCTAAACCATTTAAAAAAAATTTTTTTTAAGACACAGTCTTGCTAAGTTGTGTAAACTGGGTTTGAACTCATGATCCTCCTGCCTCAGCCTCCCAGAATGCTGGGATTACAGTCATATACCACCTCACCCAGCTTGAATTGTTTTATATTATGCAAGGCAGTGAATGCAATTTCTCATAATCTGAATTTGCTAGCAGAGAGCAAGCAGATACAAAAAACTAACAGGTGTATTGTCAAAACTTCACTTGGTGAAATCCATTTCCTCTGGGCATTTTGCCAACTAATTTCTTTAGTAGGAAATGACATTCTGAAAGCAAACAGCCACCAGTCAGAGAGGAGGGAATCAGTGGAGTAAAACAGGTTCTAGTTTAACGATGCTGTGGTCATGTTCCTTAAGCACAGAAGTGGTTAATTCACTGGCAAGTGCAGCTCATCAGCCTTGCAACTTCCCCCCTTCTCTTCACAAACAAAGAATTGAGCGAAATGAGGGAAAAGTAGTAATAAGATTCATTTGAAAAAGTAGAAGTGAAGAGTGAGAGAGACACTGGCTCTGCAGAGTGAACTTGGGCAGAGAGAAAGAGGAAAAAGCAAGATAAAAGTACCCGCTGGGGGAGGAGAGCCAGGAGAGGCAGTGGGACAGTTTTGCTCCCTACCCTTCATATACAGGACAATAAAGCAAAAAGCAATGATAGATTGTAGTAGATTCCAAGAGCCTCACGCAGTATAGTGATAGTCATTAGGTCTAATCTCTTGCAAGTAGACAAAATAGCATTTTTTTTTCTGGTAATAATGAAATTTTGAGGTTACCTATATCTGTTACTTATTATTGAAGGGTATTTATTTACTTTGTTTTGCTTTTTCTGTGTTATTTTATTTTTTGAGGCAGGGTCTCTTTCAGGCTGCTCTTGAACTCCTGGTGATCCTCCTGTCTCAGCCTCCACTCCTGAGTGCTAGGACTACAGGCATGAACTACCACACCCAGCTAAAAGACATGTTTTAAAACAGACAGCATTAAAGAAATACTCAGAATTGTTGATTTTAACTTCTAGTCTAAGGGTAATTGGCATTGAGTGAGATTACTTTTTATATGCCAAATATTTTTGAACACCCATTATGTGCCCCAATGTGCTAAGCACTGTGGGAAACACGAAGAAGTTAAGACAATTGTTTCCTCCATGGGCTTTCCACACCCAGGAATTGGAGATGTCTTGGAATGATTTCCAATGAATGGAATGAGTCCGGTTCAAGACATCTCTCAAGGCTGGGAATGGTGGCACATACCTATAACCCCAGCGCTCCGGAGGCTGAGTCAGGAGGATTGCTGCAAGTTTGAGGCCAGCCTGGGCTACATAGTGAGTTCAAGTCCAGCCTGAACTGCCTAACAAGTAGTTCAAGCCCCTCCCCGCAGAGTAAAAAAGGCTGAGGTTGTAGCTCACTGCAAATCCCCAGGACTGAGGGGAAAAAGTGATTCTCCCGCCTTATCCCCATGCTGTTCTAGTCTCAAAGTCTTCTCCACGATCAGTTTTCAGGTAGCCTTCCAGGGGCCAGGCATGTCAAGCCAACTGCGGCATCTTTATAAACATATGCACACACAGCTGCTCCCTGACAAAGATCCTACCCACACTTCCTTATTTATGTAGTAGTTTTTGTTTTTCTTCTTCTTGATACTGGGGATCAAACACGGAACCCTGTGCTTGCAAGGCAGGCAGTGGAACTAGTGAGCTAAATCCCCAGGCCCTGGAGTAGTTTTTTTGAGACAGACTATTGCTATATGACCTAGGCCAGCCAGAACATTTTTGTTTGTTTGTTTGTTTGTTTGTTTGTTTGTTTTGAGACAGAGTCTTGCTATGTAGTTCAGGCTGTCCTTGAACTCACCGTGTATCCCCAGCTGGCCTTGACCTCATGGTGATCTTCCTGCCTCAGCCTCCCAAGAAGTGGGATTTCAGAACTACATCACCATGCCTGGTTTTTACACCCACGCCGTGTGTGTGTTTTCTTATACCTACATTTCTATGGGGCTCCAACCTGGGCATGGTGGTACACTCTAGGGGCTGAGGCACAAGCATCGCAGACCGGAGCCTGGCTTCTGAAACTTGCTACTTCAAAAGACTCTGTCTCCAATAATCTAAAGAGTTCTAGGCATGTAGCTCTGTGCAAAGAGCTCGTTCCCCAGCGCAAAGGGGTCGATCCCCAGTACTGCCAACGGGGGGAAAATCCATCTAGAGCAACTCTCAGATGTTGAGCAATCTCAGGAACTGAGCACGCATGTACTGTGCCCTCAGGAGCTCCATAAATATCTGAGTGACTGAAAGAACCATGCCTCTCCGGGAGGCTCTATTTCTATTGTACGTCACGTGTGCGAATCGTCTGTGGGCTCACAGAGACCAGAAGCCTCCTCCCAGAGAGCAATGACTAGGTCAGGGGCCTTCCAGGCCTCTCGGTTGCTAGGGGGCTCCTTCCTGGGCTCAGGGTTTTTCCTAGCTCCGTGGGTGGAGCGTGAGTGAGTCTGGCTGTTACTTTGTTTCAGCTTGACTGGTGGTCAGAGGTGTGTCCGAGGTGTCCCAGCTCCGCTGTTGGTACTGGGAATAGAACTCAGGTCCTTGAGCTTGCAAGGCAGGTGGCGGCACCCCGGGAGCGAAATTCCCCACCCAACAGCGCTGTTCTTGAGTATTACCTGGTGGAAGCCTTTGTGGACTGAGCTGTTGGGTTTTCTCCTCTGGGAAGTTCTTATTCCTTTAGGTACCAAGCCTCTGAATTCTTTTCCACATAACTAATAAACAGTTCCCCCGGTCTAATGCATACCTTTTGAGTTTTGATTTAATTAGCTATTTTTGCCCCAGTTTTTATCTGTTCAGTTCCATCCATTGAATCATCCATAATTCATTTCGCTGCCTTTGAGGCTGGAATAACCTACTTATTGGTTCTTTAAAAAAAAAAAAAAAAAGTGGGAGAAAAGAGAGGAAACCCAACTG